CAGCCATTTTTTGCAAAGGGAGTGCAAAGGGGTTTCGGGAGGCCAAAAATGCTGTATTCAGTGTATAAGACACACCCAGATTTTCAGCCTCTTTTTTGAGGGAAAAGGGTGCGTCTTATACACCAAAAATACGGTAAGTAGATGGTATGGCTGTTGGTGGAGAATGTATGCTATCCACTAACAGAGGAACACATACATTCTCCAACAAAAGCCATACCAACTACTTACCGTATTTTTTGGTGTATAAGACACACCCAGATTTTCAGCCTCTTTTTTGAGGGAAAAGGGTGCGTCTTATACACCAAAAAATACGGTAAGTAGTTGGTATGGCTTTTGTTGGAGAATGTATGTGTTCCTCTGTTAGTGGATAGCATACATTCTCCACAAAGAGCCATGCCATCTAAAATATCAACTTGGATGTGCTTGCAGGATTATTCCTCAAATGTCAACATGCAGCAATGATCAAGAACATTGAACTAGGATGTGGAAAGTAGGTTTTAAATCTTAATTGAACCATAAATCTCATTGAAAAACTATAGGCAATAATTATCTCTAAGTCTGCGTTATCTCTCAGAACTGTTGTGAAAACTAAATGTATGGGTACCCATCTAACCCCACTTTAAGTTGGAAGAGGAGAAGTGTAAATTAAATAGATGCTAAGTGGCATTTCTTTTCAACAGGACTGAAGGAGGTATCACCAAAGGTGCCACTGTAGGCATCTTGCTTGATTTGACCAGGAGGACCTTGACTTTCTCCATCAACGAAGACCAGCAAGGACCAGTGGCCTTTGAGAATATGGAGGGAATATTCTTTCCTGCTGTCAGTCTCAATCGGAATGTGCAAGTAAGGATGGGCTGAGACCTGGCTGGTTGAGAAATGCCAGTTGGAAGTTGTGTCTTGGTATGTGCCGTGGCCATGGAGGTGTACAGCAGCAATAAGGACGGCAGGAATAAAATTCAGGGCTAAGGTGGCAAAAACTGGAGTGAAACAAAAGACTTGGAATAATCTTCCTCGAAGTGACCACTTCAACAGGTGTAAACTTCGATTCCCAGAAATGAGCAAGAGCTACTATTGAAATTTTTGAGAGTAACTCCATATTACTAGAACACACAGTTTGGGGGGGAAGGCTGGCCTAGACCATAGGTCCAACAGTGTTGTTTATCATTGCCACTTCCTTTTGGCCACACTGGCTGAGAGTGAGGGAAGTAGAGCTCAACAATCAGTCTTCCATCCCAGCCTATGATATGCCAAGACAGCTCCAGATTTAAAGGAGACTGTATTCCCTGGTTCCCTCTTCCATGGGTGTCAAGATAAGCAAGAATGAGTAGGGTTGAGTTGATTATGAACAGTGCTACAAAGCTGCATCTAGCCAATACTCTCCCACATTATCTATTTATTACAAGCCACCTAATATCAGGTAAAAGTGAGGTGGGAGGCTATGTACATTGATTGAGCATTTAAATAAATAAATAATTATCTGAGAGGCACCATGTCAGGGGTAATTTAGAAAACTAAATGGACATAACATTTGTCTGCCTTGTGGCCAAAGAGTTAAACTGAAAAAGTTAAATATAGGAAACTAGAAATGAGCACGTGTAGCTCAGGGTTGAATCTTGGGTTCTTGGTGCTCCTTGAGCTTGCTGACATTTGTTTGTCAACATTTCATTACCTAACTAGGTGAAATGTTGTCAAGAAAATAACCAAGTTCAGAAAACACCAAGAAATCTAAATATTGGAAATTTGAAGACAAATTTCAATTGTGGGACTTATTGAAGCAAAGCTGTACTCTCTGTCTGTGCAATCTGATACTCAGAATCAATTTCTCTGTATTTTTAGGTTGTGGCAAAAACGTTGTACGTTACAAAACTAACATTAGTAAAGAGGAGGTGGAATCACCTTAAGTTTGCTGTTTGACAGTCATCATTTGTTTTGCAGCAAAGGGTAATTGTATGTGGGAATGTCCTCAAGAGACAGGAAGAAGAGCCACAGGCCTAGACAAGGAGTCTCATAAATGAAATCTGAGTCCAAAGAAGGATGGGTGGCGAAAGAGACTCAGAAAGGATCCTTCCTCATTCTCATGGAAGTAAATGTGAAGTGTGCAGAGATATATGTTCAGGCTTGCAAGGTTCTGTTAATGTAACCTTACAATAACGTTAGAGCTAGTACTCTTGGTTGTGTTTCTTTTCTTGACTACTTCATAAGAATAACATTAATCTTGCAAGGCCAAAAATCCCTGTCGTCCCTCACTTTTACTCTTCTGAAAGCCAGAGAGGGTCCCTTCTGAGACACTTTCACCACTTCTCCTCCTCTGGACTAAATTTGATCAAACTATTGTCTTGCCTGCAGCTGTTCTTTCTGTCTCCCAAGGTCATTCCCACATACCATTACACCAAAACACTTCCTTAATGAACAGGAAGCCATTGATTTATCCCACACTGCTCTTGGTAGCCATTAAATCTTGTAGATTATGAAACTTCAATGAATCATTCTGGGGATGGGAAGGAAGAATGAGGAAATGAATCTCCCAATAGATTAAGTTATTATCATTTATTAATATTGTTATAAATTCTTCTCAGAACAGAGCTTTTGCAACTCTCCCACCCAAATTCAACTCAAAACAGTGTTCCATGATAATGTAGGTCAGGAAGCTTGGAGGAGTGAGGTGTAGGAAAGCAAGGAGCTCCATGCCACAAAGGATAAATTTACTCTGGACCCAAATAGTCTCCACTCCTACAAATGCCATGTCTTTCTCCATTTTATTCCCTAGGGCACCATTCGTCTCAAGACTACTTTTTGCTTTTCTGTAGGATTAAAAAAAACACCTCTTTACAGTTGTAACTATGCATTAAAAATATGATCTTGGTCTAGCCAAAGTTGGGCAGAGTAAGAAAAATATAAGCACTTGTTTAGCTGGCTTCTTCAAAAGCCTAGGGGAGTTAAAGTGTTTCAGTTGTTTACATTTTAGTGTACCATTGAATATCTTCCCATTTAACTATTATTCTTGTACCAAATCATTATCAATTTGTTGTATATTTGGGAGTACAGGTGTGTTTTTATGGATTTGTTCACTGAGAGTTGGTTCTGTGATCATGGAAAAGCAAAATCTAGCTGATTAAAATTTGATTTAAAATGCTCTCCACGTTGCACACCATCCAATCTGTCCTTGGTTTCAGGTAACACTTCACACTGGCTTGCCGGTCCCGGACTTCTACAATGCACGGGGATCCCTGCAGTAGAGACGCCCTCATGCCTTTTTCTCAGGACACATCAAGAGAGCTGCACTGACCTTCTTCAAGAATTGACCTCACAGGAGCAAGAAGGAGAATATCTGGTCATCTGGCAACTCCAAAGCAGCAAAAATCTTTTTTTTAAAAAAAAGCAGAGTGGAAGAAACTAAAGAAAAACAAGGACAAAACAGACTTGGCACCTCTACAAGCTGCAGCAATTGACCCCACCCCACCCCCATCCCCTAGTTTCTCTAACCCCACATGCTGTGCGTGAGTTAGCTTTGCTATTTTTGCTTTTTGGTTGATCACAGAATTCCTGGACAAACCGAGGTGTAACTCTTGTTTCCAGTTTTGGTTTTATTCCTTGCTAAAGGGTTTTTCCTTTTCCTTGAGTGCAAGCCAGAAGTCATGACATAGCAGATGTGGTTGACTCCCAGAGAAGAGATGGTTTATAGTCATATTGCTGTGGATTAAGTTCAAAAATGGCACCCCAAACATTTCTATGCCCTGATGGCTTGCAAGAATTGCTTTCTCTGAGTCCATCTAACTTCATCTCCACCTTCTCCTCTTTCTTTGCAGTCTTTCTCCATGAAGAATATCGTCAAAAAGTATTGGACTTGGGTTGCCATGCAGTTGGTGTTTGTAGGGACAAATGGTAATAATAATAAATACCACAATGGAAGCTCTACCCTTGCCATATTTGCATGCACTGTTGCAATGTAGATATGAAAGGGTGGAGTTTATGTTGTGACACCACAGCACATATCTTGTTTTGGCATCATCCTGGCTACATGTGTCTCCAAATATCACAAAATCCTTTGGAGACCATTACATAAGCAGATGCCATCAAACATAATGGCCACAGAATCCCAGAATTAAATAAAAAAATTGATTTTTAAAAATGGCCCAAACTTCACACGATTGCCAAATCCTATGAGACTAATTAGGAGCAGGAATGCCAAATATTTTACATTTTTATTGGCTCCTTTAAAAATAAGTTCATATTGGTACCCGTGACAGAGGTACCTTGTGTCTTCTTATGGACTACCCTGAGATTAAAGATTGAGAATCTATATACAAAGCCATGCAGAATTAATAATTTTAAAAATCCAGTGTTTTATTTTTCCAGTGAAAGCAAACAGAAAGATGATCATATTATTTCCATCGAAATGGTAGGCAAGCACTTTTGTTGGAACAGAGAGAACTCACAACATCCAGACATATTATTCCTCATTTTTAATTCATAGACCACTTTTTCAATCAGAACAATAGCCACTGCAGATCATCACCAATGCAGAAAACAGGAAACTAACAGGTTTTTTTTTAAACAACAGCAGGAATCTCTAGTTTACATGTGGTTTCTTATAATAGCAACAATAATAGGAACATTAGAGTTACATCACATTTTTCTTTTAGATCTCAAAGTAGCTTACATAGGAATTCTTCCCTTACTTTATTTCCCGCAAATAGCTATAGCACTTAGACTTGTATACAGCTTCACAATGCTTTTACAGCCCTCTTTAAGCCGTTTACAAAGTCAGCATATTGCCCCCAACAATCTGGGTCCTCATTTTACCTACCTCGAAAGGATGGAGGTCTGAGACAAGCTTGAGCTGGTCAAGATCGAACTCCAGGCTGTGGTCAGAGTTAGCCTGCACTACTGCATTCCACCATTGGATTCTGTCATTGGATTCCTAATTAATGAATTAGTTAATCATAGAAGACAGGTTGAGCTGGGTAAGTGGAAGATAAATGCAAAGTTGGCTATAAATTGAAACCATGATTGGTTTACCCAGTCAATCTTCTGAGATGGCAACTCCATCAGATATGTTTGATTCTCTTTTGTTCAAAAAATCTAGTGCAGCTTTTTAAATTTTTCCTTCCAGTCTTGAGAGTGTGTTGAATGCAAGGGAGATCTTAACAATCTAGGATTCTTAGTTTGTATTAGTTTTGTCATGTGAAACAAGTCCAAAGCCAGACTTTCCTACATCATCATCATCATCACCACCACCACAAAATAATGGAGCCAAATGCAATAAACCCTAGCTATGTTGCAGAATCAACATCCTGCTAGAGAAAACAAGTTTCATTCATAGACAGCAATTATCTTCTGCCAAACCATCCAAGATAGTTCTACCTCTCCGTGGCAAGCTAACAGGGAAAACAGATGATTCAGATAAGTTCAGCATATGATTGTATATGAAGAGCCCTATTGCGCCATCAAGCTAACCAAGATCAAATGCTGCCAATCTGCTGGGCTCCATTGGTAGTTGGGAAAAATGCTGGTCACATGCGGAAAGTACCATTTTGGAGAACCCTGACCAAGACTCAGGTTCCTACAGAGGCAGCTGGGATTCTGGATGCTGAACTGTGCTTTGGATTCCTGGATGGTTTGCAAAGTAACCAACTTGACTTATGGCTTCCTACAGATGTCACTTACCACTTTGGGAAGATACAAGGCAACCATTTTGCTATTGTCATTGTTCTTAGAGGGAATTTCCCTGACCACATAAACACAGAGCACTATTCCTTGACAATATTTCTAAATGAACTACGGGGACGGGGGAAGTATCTCTTGAGATTTTTTTTTTCTTTCTGTTTCTGTAAGCAAACTATTATATGGGTATGACTTTCTCTTGATTGTACACTGGCGCTTATCACACGTCTTTTCTCCCACACATAAATGCGAGCAGTTTGTCAGCCATTTTAGGCAACAGCATTTTTCATAGCTATAGTGAAAGTGTTGCATCTATAAAAAAAAAAAAAAAAAGAGGGCATGCTGTATCAGACCGAGCACATATTTGTGGCTAATGTATGGACAAGCAAAGATGCCTCCTCGGTGTGTTCTTCTTTTCAAGTAATGAACTCTGCCATGGTAACATTTCACGATTCCTAGCTGTGAAACCAGGCCAATTCATGTTGGGTCATCAAAAGATGCTCCATGAGGTTTTTTTAATATTCTCCTTTATCTCGATCATTGCTTTATTTCCGTATCCTGGCATTGTAAACATTTTGCAATTGTAATGCTACCATCCTACATTTCTGCTGGGTTAGAATGAACGGTTTTGCAGTGGCCTATCATTCCAGAAGGCCTACATTATGTTCGGCTGTAGTGCAAAAGGAGAAGGAGTGGTGCCTAATACAAGCAGAGACTGAGGCACATTTAAATCATTAGCATGAAAAATGAGTTATGGCCTAGTTACCCGTGCAGTTGTATGTATTCCATGGAACTTTGCTACTTTCTTTGGAAGGTCTAGAGTCTTGCTTAGCAAAGCCATAAGATAATAGTTTGTTAGAAGTTTACATCCAGCAATGAACAAAGTAGCAAAGCAGTAAGTGAATATCAGATAGTAGAAATTGGGAGAGCTTGGAAACATCTAAGATGCTGTTCCAGCAGGAGATAAAGTATAAATGAGCCCTGGAGTTTTTGATGGTGCAGACCCAAGTTCTCCGGAAGTCCCTCAACTTGGAGAGGAGGACCTGAAAAGAGAGGGACTTCTTGAAACTTAGTAGTTTCATGGCAGTTAGAAATAGTTAAATTGTATGGCTTGGTCTAGCTCAAAAAGAGATTGTGCTGCCCATGCAGGCTGTGGGTTTAAGAATTTGACATCACTTTCATGGAGATTGTGGGTGAGGGTCCTTCACAGGTTGGGACTTCCACTGCTTCTACATCAATGCATGTGGACCACTTGGGGGGGGGTTCAGATTGGTGCTATTTTAGAGGACGTCACCTCTGAAAGTTATGCTTATCACTCTCTGCCAATGGATCTTGCTCCCCCACTTGAAGGTGACTGATTATTTAGGCTAATTATGTACATAATACATTTTCCACATTTGTTCATTATGGTTGCTGTCATTGTATTTTTTTCTCCAACCAGAGATAGCATGCTGGTCTCCATAGTGGTTGCTTTCAATTTAGTTCATATTCTCTCTCTCTCTCTCTCTCTCTCTCTCTCTCTCTCTCTCTCTCTCTCTCTC